GATCCCGTTTTTGGGGTGAAATCCCGCGATTTCGGGTGCACTCACACAGGTAGCGGCGGTTGAGCTGATTAATCTCATTTCTCACCCGTTTTTAACCCATTTTAACCCGGATTTTCACCGTTTTTGGTTACAATAAAACCATTTTTGGGGTTTTTGGGGTGGCCGATCCCGTTTTTGGGGTGAAATCCCACGATTTCGGGTGCACTCACACAGGTAGCGGCGGTTGAGCTGATTAATCTCATTTCTAACCTATTTCTAACCCATTTTAACCTGGATTTTCACCATTTTTGGGGGTTTTGGGTGTGTTTTTGGGGGTTTTTGGGGTCGCTGATCCCGTTTTTGGGGTGAAATCCCGCGATTTCGGGTGCACTCACACAGGTAGCGGCGGTTGAGCATGTCGAAGACGCGTCCCGGCGTCCCCACCACCACGTGCGGCGCCTCCAGCTGCAGTTTCTGCACCTCGGCGCGGACGTTGGTGCCGCCGATGCAGGCGTGGCACGAGGCCCCCATGTAGTCCCCGAGCGCCATCACCACCTTCTGGATCTGTGACGTCACCGATGACGTCATCAGTGACGTCACGGCGAGGGAAAACCCCCCCCCGCCCCCGAGGTCCCCGCGCTGATCCCGTTAAAAAAACCCAAATCCGGTAAAAAAAACAAAAACAACCCCAAAATCCCGTTAAAAACGCGGAAATCCCGTTAAAAAGCTCCAAATCCCTGCCTGAATCCCATTAAAAAATCCAAAGTCCCGTAAAAAAAACCCCAAAATCCCGTTAGAACGCTGAAATTCAGTTCAAAGTTCCCAAAATTCGGTTAAAAACACCCAAAGAATTCCCAAAAAAGTCCCTTAAAAATTCCCTGAAAAATCCCCAAAAAACATTCCCTGAAAAATCTCAAAAATTCCCTGAAAAATCCCAAAAAAATTCCCTAAAAAATCCCAAAAAAATTCCCTAAAAAATCCCAAAAATTCCCTAAAAAATCCCAAAAATTCCCTAAAAAATCCCAAAAATTCCCTAAAAAATCTCCAAAAAAATCCCTGAAAAATCCCCAAAAAAATTCCCTGAATCCCAAAAATTCCCTAAAAAAATCCCAAAACAATTCCCTGAAAAATCCCAAAACAATTCCCTGAAAAATCCCCAAAAAAATTCCCTGAAAAATCCCAAAAAAAATTCCCTGAAAAATCCCAAAAATTCCCTGAAAAATCCCAAAAATTCCCTAAAAAAATCCCAAAAAAATTCCCTGAAAAATCCCAAAAAATTCCCTGAAAAATCCCAAAAATTCCCTGAAAAATCCCCAAAAAACATTCCCTGAAAAATCCCAAAAATTCCCTAAAAAATCCCAAAAATTCCCTGAAAAATCCCAAAAATTCCCTAAAAAAATCCCAAAAAAATTCCCTGAAAAATCTCAAAAATTCCCTAAAAAATCCCAAAAATTCCCTAAAAAATCCCAAAAAAATTCCCTGAAAAATCCCAAAAAAATTCCCTAAAAAAATCCAAAAAAATTCCCTAAAAAAATCCAAAAAAATTCCCCAAAAAAATCAAAAAATTCCCCCAAAAATTTCCATTAATTCCCAAAAAAAATCCCCCAAAAATCCCAAAATCTCCCCAAAAATTCCCCAAATTCCCCCCAAAAATTCCGTTTTTTTCCCGTTTGTGCTGTGACGTCACCGATGACGTCACCGATGACGTCACCGATGGCGTCACGGCGCGCTCAGGTGTGCCCCAGGTATGAACCAGTTGGGCCACTGGGCCGGACTGGGATGAACTGGGAGCTGCTCTGCCCCCGCCGGATTCGGGACCGGGGCCAGGGGACCCCGCCCTGCCCAGACGGCCGGGGGTTACTGGGATATACTGGTTTGGACTGGTTTGGACTGGTTTGGACTGGTTTGGACCAGTTTGGACCGGTTCGGACCGGTTCGGACTGGTTTTTACTGGGTTATACTGGTCTGGATCGATTCGGACTGGTTTCTACTGGTTTGGACTGGGTTAGAGTGGTACGGACCAGTTTGGAGCAATTTGCACTGGGTTATACTGGTTTGGACTGGTTTGGACTGGGATGGACCGGTTTGGAGTGGTTTGGACTGGGATGGACTGGTTTGGACTGGTTTGGATTGGGATGGACTGGTTTAGACTGGGATGAACCGGTTTGGACTGGTTTGGACTCTTATTTACTCGGTTATACTGGTTTGGACTGGGTTATACTGGGTTACACTGGTTCAGAGGAGATTATACTGGTTGGGACTGGTTTGGATCGATTTGGACTGGGTTATACTGGGTTATACTGGTCTGGACTGGGTTTACTGGTTCAGACTGGGTTATACTGGTTTGGACTGGGTTTACTGGTTCAGACTGGGTTATACTGGTTTGGACCGGTCTGCACCCACCCAAACTGGTTTACACTGGTCCAGACTGGTTTATACTGGTCCACGTTTATATTGGTCCAGACCCATCCGTACAAGTCCAAACTGGTTTGAACTGGTTTATACTGGTCCAAACTAATTTATACTGGTCCAAACTGGTCCGAAGTGGTTTGAACTGGTCCAAACTGGTCTGAACTGGTCCAAACCGGTCCCGCACAGGTGCCACACCCCCCTCCAGCAGCCACAAGGGGGCGCCACCCCCACCCGTCCCCACGTCCCCCACCCGTCCCAACCGGTTTAAACCGGTTAGAACCGGTCTGTACCGGTTCAAACTGGTTTGTACTGGTTTGTACTGGTTTGTACTGGTTTGTACTGGTACCTGCTGGGCGAGCTCGCGGGTGGGGGCCAGCACCAGCGCCTGCGTGGCCTTGAGCTCCAGCTCCACCTGCTGCAGGATGGAGATGGCGAAGGTGGCGGTTTTACCTGTGCCGGACTGCGCCTGCGCGATGACGTCATAGCCTGGGGACAGGTGAGACACAACAGGTGTGTTACAGGTGTGTACAGGTGTGTACAGGTGTTACCTGTGCCGGACTGCGCCTGCGCGATGACGTCATAGCCTGGGGACAGAACAGGTGTGTTACAGGTGTGTACAGGTGTGTACAGGTGTGTACAGGTGTTACCTGTGCCGGACTGCGCCTGCGCGATGACGTCATAGCCTGGGGACAGGTGTGTGAGTTACAGGTGTGTTACAGGTGTGTGTGTACAGGTGTGACCTGTGCCGGACTGCGCCTGCGCGATGACGTCATAGCCTGGGGACAGGACAGGTGTGTACAGGTGTGTACAGGTGTGTACAGGTGTTACCTGTGCCGGGCTGCGCCTGCGCGATGACGTCATAGCCTGGGGACAGAACAGATGTGTACAGGTGTGTACAGGTGTGTACAGGTGTGTACAGGTGTTACCTGTGCCGGACTGCGCCTGCGCGATGACGTCATAGCCTGGGGACAGAACAGGTGTGTTACAGGTGTGTACAGGTGTGTACAGGTGTTACCTGTGCCGGGCTGCGCCTGCACGATGACGTCACAGCCTGGGGACAGAACAGGTGTGTGAGTTACAGGTGTGTTACAGGTGTGTACAGGTGTGTGTCCAGGTGTATCCAGGTGTGACACAGGTGTATCCAGGTGTGTGTCTGTGTCCCTTCAGGCGTGAGCACAGGTGTGTGTGTGTATCCAGGTGTGCACAGGTGTGTCCAGGTGTGCACAGATGTGTCCAGGTGTATCCAGGTGTACACAGATGTATCCAGGTGTATCCAGGTGTCCCTTCAGGTGTGAGCACAGGTGTGTGTGTGTGTATCCAGGTGTACACAGGTGTGTCCAGGTGTATCCAGGTGTGCCCAGGTGAGCCCTGGAATTAACTGGGAATGGACTGGGGGCACTGGGGCTGTACTGGGATGAACTGGGATGAACTGGTTACACCTGTCCAGGTGAGTTTATCTTTGATACAGGGTAAAATGGCTCTCTGCTGGATGGCCGAGGGTTTCTCGAAGCCGTGGCTGCACTGGGAGCACTGGGATGAACTGGGATGAACTGGGCTGTACTGGGTTGAACTGGGCTCTCCTGGGCTGGTGAGGTTACCTCTGTCCA